ACATGTAAAAGATTTTTATCTTTTAGATGTGATGATTTGCCACATTTTTAGAGGAAATTTAATGTTCTTAATAAAGAGAATTGCTATTTTTTCAATTAACATACATGCTGGATGGTATATAAAACTAGGAAACTAGCCAAAAGTCAGTTTTTTATATTATAAAACTTTTATCGCCTACTAGGCGACTAGGCGCCCCAATGTCGCCTAGAATCGCCTAGACGCCTTGAAAACTATGGCCCGTGAATAGGTCTACCACCTAAGGTGGGAGCTCTTTGTTGGGAAGCCTCTCTTGGAACATTAAATAATTTGGACAATTTGCAAAAGAGAAGACCTACACTTAGTATTTCCCCAAACTGGTGTGTACTCTACAGAGCTAATGGAGAAAGTTGTCACCGCTTACTAATCTCCTGCCCCTTTGTTGTAGGTCATTGGGAAAAGTTTTTTTAGTCTTTTTGGATGCAGGTGGACTGAGCCTCTGCAAATTGGTAGTCTATTTGAGTCTCCAAATAGATGTGTAAAAAGAGTAAAGAGGTGGAGCATCTGTTCCCTCAATGTAAAAAGGTCAGGTCATTTGGCAAATAGGTGTGTAAAAAGAGTGGAGAGGTGGAGCATCTATTCACTCAATGTACAATGGAAATAGACATTTAAAGCTTCTAAATCTCCTTGTTCAGTGTTTCATTGTTCTTCTCTTGAAGGGCTCCCATGGTTCTACTGTCCTGAACCTCTTGGTCTTAAGTTCATCTCGGGTACTGGGTCAGACCTGGTGGTATTGGAGCATCTGTTCCCTCAATGAATAAAGGTCAGGTCATTTGGCAAATAGATGTGTAAAAAGAGTGGAGAGGTGGAGCATCTATTCACTCAATGTACAAAGGAAATAGACATTTAAAGCTTCTAAATCTCCTAGTTCAGTGTTTCATTGTTCTTCTCTTGAAGAGCTCCTCATGGTTCTACTGTCCTGAACCTCTTGGTCTTAAGTTCCTCTTGGGTACTGGGTCAGACCTGGTGGTATATGGTGTCATTTCCTATTTATTTGAGTTTTCTTTATTGGTTTCTTGTTTGGTGACCTTGGGGAAAAGAAATAAAAAAATATATAAAAAAAAAATGAAGAGGACCCCCTGTCTACTCCGGTGAGCAACTATTGGTACTTTGTGATGGTAATCCCTTGTTTAGGAGGTTCAAAGATCTAAAACAAGCAGATTTTGGAAGGGACTCAATATATATTAGGAGGGAGTGATATTTCATAAATGTATGCACCATCAGTTTTTCTGCAGGAAGGATGTCTTATCGTCTTATACTGGTAGAGTTTTCACATATAAATACAGTTTTTTGTTTTTAGTCCAGAAAAGAAAGAAAAATTAAGGGCACAAGAAGAAAAAAAAGAATTTAATGGAATTCCAATGAAAATCTGACTATAATATGTACCTGTGCTGTGGCTTGGCGCATCTTTGTCAAGTCGTCATTCATTTCAAGAACAGTTTGTTCTAAAATCTTCTCGGGATCTTCAAAGGAGCTTATTATTGCATTTGCATATGACTACACTTTGACAGAAAAATTAGACCTATATTAGTAGCATAAGTGTTTGAAAGGAAAAGCTGAAGTCATGAGCATCTTCAAAGAAAGGCATAATATCATTGTGTGTAAACATTTTTCTCATCTCACTTTGACAACTCTAGCAAATCGATCAAAAAGGTTCATCCTGGCACCAAGAGCTCCACCACCACAATCTATACATTTGGGTCTGTGGGAATAGGTTATCCATATGCCTGAAATTTTTAAGCCAACAAAAAATCATAAATACTAACAGAGGAATTATTTCGAATAGGAAAATTGAAGTGGAAAGTATAACCTGATTGTATGTATAAATTAACAAGTGAGAGAGAGAAAGAACTAATTTCATAAACTGCCTCTGACTGCAATATTGCAAGTTCTTCTGCTAGATACATATAATCTAAAGATAATGTTTTATTCTAGAGCACGCAGCATAAATAAGAGATTTGGAGCCTAATGCACTCAAGCAATAAAGCATACAAGTGATAAAAGTGATCATTTCTAAATTTCCTCTCAGCTAGTGTAGTATGTTACATTTGTATAAGACAAGCCACAAGTGTCCGTATGTGCAGTTAATAAAAATCAATTATCCAGCTTAAATCTCTACTGAAATGCCTCAATTAATCATCATGCTAGTCAAAGCTTATATTTGACATTTGAAATAACTTCCAACCTACATGTTCCTTATTTACTGGTTTATGGCAGACACTAGGGGTGTAATCGAGTCAAGTTGAGCCGAGTATTAGGCTGCTCGAGATCAAGCTTAACTCAAAACACAGAGATCAAAACTCGACTCGAGCTCGATTGGGTTTCATGTTTTTGGCTCGAACTCGACTCGAATCGGTTATAATTAAATAGTATTAAAAATTATAAATAAATTAATAATAAGAATATTAAAAATATAGATAAATTAATATTATATATGCTATAAATAAAAATATATTATGAAAACCAATTATAAATTTATATTATCTCAAAAAACTAATGTTTATTTATATTATAAATACAAATATATTAAAAAATAGTATTTTATTATGAACTCAATTAGACTTGCGAATCACTCAAGCTAGGTATTGCGAAGCTCGAACTTGGCTCGACCATCTACTCGAACTCAATTACTTCAAGCTGAATTCTAGTATTTAGCGAGCTGAACCCAAGTAGGTCGCGAGTAGGCTCAACTCGCTTACACCCCTAGTAGACACCATAAGTACCCACTATGACTCTAAGATAATGGTACCTTCAAAGAGAATTGGTGGGGAAAATGACAATTACATCTTGAATGAGCAAAAATAACTAAAAAATATATTACTTGTATAATCATAAAACTACAATAATAACCTACTGAAATCTTTCAATATTCAACTTTAAAAACCACCTATTAGAATATCTTTTTTTGTCAATAATGATAATTCTATTACTAATCAATTCAACTAATTAGAACATTCAATACTTTAAAACTTTTACAATAAAACCTTAATTCAGTCCTGCTACAATGTATTTCTAAAACAACCACTTCTTATCCTTATCTAGGATAAGGCTACTCTAGTCAATTTCCTGATTTGCATGGGTCCAACATATGGTCATTGTGGTGTATCTTTCTCTTAAATCTATTTCAAGATAGGGTTTAGCTGCATGAATCTTGTTTTGGTTTTCCTGCCATAGACTTTATGGCCTTAAAACCCGTATCATCAAACTATCTAAGTGGTGAAAAGTTGAGGGCATGAAAGGGTCAAAAGGAGTAAGTGATGTGCAAGAAGTGATTGCTTAAGATACGAGCTGGAGATATTGGTTTGTTATTTGGTTGGTAGATTATTTAGTGCAGATACAGATGAAGAGTTTGTTTCTAAGACTGCATTTGGTAAGAAGTGCAGAAAGTGAATGCACTGATGTGAATGCAAACTTGTTCAAATAGAAGCATGCAAACTTGGTTCAATTTTACGGCAAGTCACCCGGAAATTTACAGTGTCTTGTTTGGCTGCAATGAGTGCAAACATGAATCTCAAAGCTGGAACCAACCTATCTTACATTGACCACCATTGAGTGCAAAGTCTGCTTCCACCCATTTTGAATGCAAAAACAGTTGAGAAAAACAAATTTATTTTCATTTTTAGTACAAAAATGCATTCTTACTAAACCAGACCAGAGTGCAAATTTGCTTCACTTCTGCATTGCACTCTTACTAAATGCAGCCTAAATGAGTATCACTGGAATGGTGTCTAGAATCCAGTTGATGCCACAAAGTTAGGTGGGGATCTGTTCTCAGAGGCGTGTAGGATTTAACAACAGACCAGGAAGATTCACTAGGGTCCAAGGAACCAAGAAGTTGGCCACATCTTATCATTCAAAAGATCAGGTAGGAGTAGAAGTTGCTGATATCGTATAATGGGAGAAATATTTTGTTGCTATCAGAAATTGAAAAATCAACTGAAGACAGGAGAGTTAAGGCATTGGAAGATAGGAGAGATGAGATTGTTTCAGAAGATGAGGATGAAGCCAACGTACCTGCATAAAATCAGGAAATAGAAGGTGGTTTATGTGATGGTGGCAAGGTGAGAGATGCTGAATCTTCCTGCGGAGATGAGGTAGGTGATGGGAATGATGAAGGTCAGGGTGTAGTGGGGGAGAACAGAGGCAACAATTGCCAAGAATAGGGGTGAGCATTATTCGGTTAAAACCGAATTACTGAACCGAAAATTTTGGTTTCGGTTTTTAATAATTTTGGTTTTCGGTTTCGGTTTTCAGATTTAGAAATTTGGTTAACCGAAAAAACCAAATTAGCTAAAATTCATTATATAATATATAATATATAATATGCTACATATTTATATATTAATATATTATATAATGTATTATAATGAAATTAACTTTCATAACATATATATTATAGGTTATAATATATAATATTATATATATAATAACTAAATTCAGTTTTTAACCAAAATAACCAAAAACAGAACCGAAAATTTCGGTTCGGTTATTTCGGTTTTATTGAAAATCGGTTTCGGTTTTCATTTTATTATTTCGGTTTTAAAAATTTCAGTTTATTCGGTTCGGTTTTTAACCGAATGCTCACCCCTAGCCAAGAAGTAGAATGTGAATGGGAAATTGTTAGAATAAGTGATGCAGAACCCAGACCTGTGTACGGGAGTAGCCAGCTGAAACTAAAGGCTTACAAAAGAAGAGGTCCACGTCAGCTCTCAGACACAACTAATAACAGAGTGGCATAACTGAATGTAACTACCAAGAATGTAACAGAATGTAACAACCTCATCTATAAATACAAAGCGAGCAAATAAAGAAGTAATACAGAATTACTCAAACATCTCTCTCTCTCTTGTCCATTTCAGGAGGTGGTTCCTCATCAGAACCCTGAGTTAGGCAGTCCCTAACAACTAATTTGGTATAGAGCTTGATGCCGAACACACAAGCAACTTCAATGGAAGCCAGAGTCGACCACGTTGAAGTCGAGCTCCATCACGTATCTGGTGACATAAGGGAAATGAAGGAAACTTTGTCTGCTCTAATGAGGAAACTTGAACAGACTGGGGGCGATGGGAACAGAGAGGGTCGATCCAAACAATGGACGAAGCCAAGCAAGCAATTGACAAGCATAAGTGTTATACTATTTTTCCCAAACCTTATGGGTTGTGGTATAGTGTTGAACAGTACTTGTGATTTTAGGAGTCATAGAAATCAGCAAGCATGACATCACAGTTGCATTTTCTCTACACCAAGTGCTATAACCCGGTTCCTCTTCCTTGAGCTCTTTAATCTGCACATCAATGTATTCTTGCAATCCATGACTTACCATGGACAATTTTGCTGAAATGACCCACTCCCTATAATTGTATTCATCTAATTTCACATTAGTAACCTGTACCGTAGGGCTTCCAAGATGAATAACACTATCTACAGTCTTGGAATCTCCAGATGAAACTTCACTTGTGTCAGAAGACATCTTGAACTCAGACAAATTGATATTTAGCAAGTAGAACAGGTCAAACAGCACCTTCCTTTGTTTGAACTCTAAAGATAATTTTGCTTAGAACCCACACAAATCTCCTAGACTGAAACTTCTTGCAGTCCAGTGCCTAGACCTGAAAAATAGGCCTCTCTAGTAGTCCACACAACTATTCCACAGCTTCTTGCCCTAACTGGGCATACCATCAAATATTCTGAGCCTCCTTGAAGATTATCCGAAGGAAAAAAAAAAAAAAACCTAGAAACAATCTCAGCTAACCACAACCAGCAGTAGGGTACCTTATTGTTGCTATAACAAAAGAAAAAACACTAGAGAAGAACAAAAAAAAGTGAATGCAAGAGTAGACAAGCAGAACAAGAGCAGATTATTACTTTGATGCCATGTTTGTATTCAGATTCATGAAGAAAGAAAAGAAACCAGAGAAAGAAGAAGAAGTGTTAAGAGAGTAGGGCAGCACTACCTAACCAGCCCATAAAAATGATATTTATATTATGGTTACAATAATACATGAGATCACCATCTTACCTCCCATTAGTGTACAGTAATATAACTTAAAATAAAAAAAGGCCCAGGCCCATTAACCACTTAATAACAGTACAGACATAACAGAACAAAACATGATATAACATAAATGGGCCAAAGCCCAAACTGTTAAGTCCCATAACAGATACTATGGATGAAGTCAATAAAAGAACATAAAATTGACAAGATTGTAGATAAAGAGGATGCCAGCAAGGTGTTTGGTGCTATCTTTTTTGGGTGGGGAAGGTTTTGCTATCAAAGCATTTGAGGAGCTAGAAACAAGGAGAGGAAGGAGAGGGAGAAAGGAAAAACCAAACAGCAGAAAGAAGGTTGAGAGGATGAATGGGTAAAGCGTTATGAAGGAAGCACAAGAAAGTCAAAGAATACCAAGATATGATTTATGGAATGATCTTATCTTGGAATTGCAGAGGATTAAGGGATTACATGAGGAGAGAACAAGTCAAATATGTCGTGAGAAGGCACAAGTGGAGACTGTAGTGACTATACTACTCCAAGAAACAAAGTTCCAAAAGTTTGATTGGAAGGAGAAGTATGAGGCTTTTTTAAAATAAATAAAAAAGAAAATTAATTAAAATTGTAAAAAAAAAAGATATAAAGGTACAGATAGAAGGTGATGAGAGATCACCCAGCCAAAAAGCAATAACAAACAAATACAAAACAATATAATATTCATTTCAGCCCAAACAATCCAATTCTAAAGATGACCAAAAGCCACACCTAAAAATTTCTTTATTAACCTCTGAAAACTCTGGTAAAATCATATTCCAAGGTTCTGAGGGATTGAGTGGAGGTGAACAAAAAAAGGGTCAGTGAGGTAAGGCAAATATGATAGACAATTAGATAAAAGGATAAATGCAAATATGATTGTTGAGAAAGAAATTCAAGTCTGCAAGAAGCTAGGTTTGTTCTTTCTTGGTGGTGAAGAGTTTGCAAAGTAAGTGTTTATGGAACTAGAAGAAATAGATAGAATTGGAGACTTTAAATTCTCAAATTCAAAAATAATTGAGAATATTGGAGGGAGAAATTTTGCTATATCAGGGATAATGGAAATGAAGTTTCAGTTACTAATGAGAGTGGTGGGTTTTGTCAAGAAAGGGTGGATAAGTTAATTCTGATTGTAGCATGACTGAAAACTGGGGAGGATGTTGAGATAAGACGGTAGGTCAAGCAGGTCAGTTGTTTAGGATGTATGCTAAAATCTTGAGTTATAAGGTGAGGGATGTTATTCATGTTATCATGGATTGCTGAGAGGTTTCTTGGTTGGAGGTTCTTGTTAAAGTTGGGTAGGATGCCCTCATATTAGGATGTATTATCAAGAACCTTGTTTGCGGGGTTGGATTTGTAGGGGCATTATATTCCTTGGTTGGCTGTAGTGTTGTTACTTCGTTATTTCCCTTTTCTCTCAGTTAACTCTTATTACCTGACTTCATATTTTCTTTTTATCTATCTAACTTTCCTTTATAATCAAAATAAACAATAACATTCTATAGTGAGCATATGGATGCTGGTAGACATCCACACCTAGATGCTGTTTACATTACTGCATACATAAGAAACAGCAGAAACTGGGATAGGTTATAAGGTTCAAATACAACCGACATCATTATCAAGGATAAAACTATCAGAGAAACTATTTTAAGATAACAGGAACTAGGCTTATGTTTCCAGGCATATTACAAAGGACTAGAGAGGTCAAGTAGTAGTACAACAAAGAATCATCTTAGAACACCATATTGGAAGATTAAAAAAGGCATGCCATCGGAGCTTCATGATAATGTTAAGCTAAAAATCCTTCTCCTATATCCCATAATACACACTTAACCAGATCCTAACCAGTCTGGAGTCTACATATTCTTTTAGGTGTAAGTTTCATATTTGTATTGTAACCTGAAGGAATAGAGCATTAAGCTGCATTTTTCTTTGCAGGCACTAAAAAACCTTTGCACCTTTGCTTGGTACATAAAACAATATAAGTAAAAACTTGTCCGAGAAATGTAGTACAAGGAAAGAGCTTGTATTCCAAAAGTTCAAAACACCCCAATCCAGAAACATAACCCCAAAAATAAAATCAACGTTATTCTCAGCTCTTTGATTAATTAACGGGGAATTAGAGAGAAAATGCAAGTAAGCATCTGCTTCCGTTGTCTGTGTGTGTGGGTGGGTGGGGGGAGGAAAAGGCATGAGCCTGACAATTCCTTAAATATTTCTCAAAGTTACAGAAATTGTGTATCAGCAAGTTAATGAGGATAACAAAAACTAAATAAATAACAATGGTACATAAAAAAAGCAGCATCTGTTAGGGCAATGTCAAGGAGCTCATAGACCATTATATTAAATATCTCGGTACAACAGGAAATCTAGAAACATGGAGAACAAAATCCAATCTCTTAGTTCTTGTCTGGTTCCACATGTGTGCCAAAGCCCTTCGAACAATAAATAAATAAGCAAGCATCATTCTTCGATTTAAGCAAGTTCCCCAAACAAAATTGAGAGAAAGCAACAAAAGCAGACAAACTTAAGTTACAGCAAACTCCATGAATATCACATAAGGCGTCGAACTTAATTAATTAGGGACCATAAAGAAGACAGAGAAATATCCTGAGAAGAAACATACCTCCACCATTAAGGAAAGACGTCTTCAGGGGTCTCCTGAGGGCTACAAGTCTGTTAGAAGAGAGCTGTAATGAAGACGATGGTGAAGATGACATGCTTAACCCAGTAATGGGTGCTCTGATCGCCATTTTCAGAACAAACCCACCTCGGCAATTGCGGAGACAGGATAAATACGCCAATCCTAGTAGGAAATGGAATCAATTGTCGAATATTTTTGTTTCCCGTCGGAATGGGTGGTCTGTTTTCAGACTGTTCAGAGTCTTGCTTTCTTTTGTTTCAACGTGTGGTGAGTGATGATAGATTTGAGTTTTGAGGTAGAGTTGTCAATGGGGTCGCTTCTGGTTCGAGACAGGGTGGCCCAGTCCCGAATTTTTGTTAATCGTTCAATAAAGTATAAACCATACACAAAATGAGTTTGGGTACAAATCAATCTATGTACAAGAAGGCATGTGAGGACGAGTAATAGTATTTTTTGCCTTTTTTTTCATGGAAATTACAATAATGCCACTCTCTATTACTCTCTTTGTTCTTTTGATTTTTTCTTTCGAATGACAAGACTGACACTCTCTCTCCTACCAACTCTTTCTCTCTCTCTTTTTCTTGTAAATTACAAGAATGCCATATCTTTCTCATTATAAATTATAAGAATGTCACTTTCTCTCCAATCGAAGGTGACCTTAGCTCGGCATCTCGGCTGTTAGGGAACTTGCAATCAAAGGTAGTCGAGTTCGAGCCGAGCCGAACTTGAACTTTTGAGCTCAAGCTCAAGTCTCTAATTCGAATCGAGCTCGAGCTAGACGATACCTCAACCACTGAGGGAAACCTCAACTCGGCACCTCGATCACTGAGGGAGATCTCGGCTCAGCACCTTGACAACTGATGGAGACCTCAGCTCAACACCTTGTCAACTAAGGGAGACCTTAGCTCGACACCTCACCTGCTAGGGAAACCTTAGCTCGACACTTCAACAACTGAGGGAGACCTCGGTTTGGCACCTCGGCAATTGAGGGAGACCTCAGCTCAATAGCTTGGCTACTTGAGAGACCAGCAATCAAAGGTAGCCGAGCTCGAACTTCCAAGCTTTTGACTCGAGCCGAGCTCGAGCTCAAGCTGATAGTTTATGAACAAGCCCCTGCAACATAGGGCCCCCTCCGCTACTAAATATATAAAGCATAAATGTGTACGTAAGAAGGCCTAAGGATGAGGTAAATAAAATCTAATAGAATCTTTTGCCTTTTTTCATGGAAATTACAAGAATGCCACTCTCTCTCTCTCTCTCTTGCTTTTTTTTTATTTTCAAATTACAAGAATGTCACTCTCTCCCCTACCAACTCTCTCTCTCTTTTTTCTTACAAATTACAATAATGTCGTCTCTCTCTCCTTATAAATTATAAGAATGCCACTCTATCTTCAATTGAGGGAGATCTCAGCTCGACATCTCGACTGCTAGGGGACCTGCAATCAAAAGTAGTCGAGTTCGAGCCAAGCCGAGTTCGAACTTCTAAGCTCAAGCTCAAGTCTCTAATTCGGATTCAGCTTGAGCTACATGGCACCTCGACCACTAAGGGAGACCTCAGCTTGGCACCTCGGTCACTAAGGGAGATCTCGACTTAACACCTCGACAATTGAGGGAGACCTCATCTCGGCACCTTGTCAACTAAGGGAGGCCTTAGCTTGACAACTCGCCTACTAGGGAAACCTCAGCTCAACACTTCAACAGCTGAGGGAGGCCTCGATTTGGCACCTCAGCAATTGAGGGAGATCGACTTGGCACCTCAGCAATCGAGGGAGACCTCAACTTGGCACCTCGGCTGCTTAAGTGACCTACAATCAAAGGAAGCCGAGCTCAAACTTCCAAGCTTTTGACTCGAGCCTATCTCAAGCTCGAGCTCAAGTCTCTAATTCGAATCGAGCTCGAGCTAGATAGTTTATGAGCGAGCCCTTGCAACGCAAGGCCCCCTCCGCTAGTATATATACTAAAACAAGGAAGTTTAGAAATTTTCTCCTTTTTTGAATTTTTTATTTTTTAATCTCTTCTCCTAAACTACCTCCCTAACTTTCTCCAAAATTATCTCTAATTTAGTAGAGAGTTTTTCTCCTAAATTATCCCTAATTCCTATGTATCCTCTTCCCTACTTTTTATCTATATCTATCTAAAGAAAGTCTAGATTAAAAAATGTAATAATTATTTAAATATTCTAACAAAATTAAATAATAACTTTAAAATATTTATTAAAAACACAAAAAATAATTTTATATTTTTAAAAAATATATCACAAAATTATGTACTAACAATTTAAAATATGTTTTTCCGAATTGTCAATTTAAATGTTTTTCAAATATTTAATAATATGTAATAGCTTTAAATAAATAAATTTCAAATAACAAAAAATTTAAATATTTTATAGATTATTTAAATATTTAAATAACTAAATATTTATCATAACTATATTTTAAATAGTTAAAATAACGAAATTATGTAATAAATTTTAAAATTTTCTTCAAAGTAGAAAAATAATAATAACATAACATTAAAATTAATAATAATTTAATATATTATAAAATTAATAATAAATTTATGTAATAATAGTATAAATTATGATTTTATGGATAATTAAATTCATTAAATAATTAATATTTTAATATTATTTTAAGTATTTAAATAACTAAGTATTTTAAATAACAAAATATTTAACATAACTAGATTCTAAATAGTTAAAATAAATAAATTATGTAATAAATTAAAAATAATCTGAAAAATAAAAAATATTAATTATAACATAATATTGAAATTAATAATAATTTAATATTTTTATATAATTGTAAATAACTAATTTTACTTATATCAAGTAATAATTTGAGAAAATAATTATCAAAACAATTAATATTTATTAATAATATTTTTCAATTCTTAATCTGTATTTATTATATAATTATATATAATAAAATTAATATTTATTGTATTTTAGTAATTATTTGTTGTTTTTTGCGATAAATGTATTTTTAATGATTATGTATAAATTTATTTTGTTTTGTTATTTAACAGAAAACTTTTAATAATTATTGGAGATTAAACTACTATTATTGAAATTTTTAAATTTAATTTATTGTATTTTTTGTTATAACTTATTGATTAATATTTATTAGAAATTAAACTATTATTTGAGATTATACTATGTGTTGACTAAGTTAATATAATTATTGTATTGTATTTAGTACTTATTTGAGAGAAGGATTTCCAAATCGCTTCAATTATGAATAGGTTTGAACAAGCCTAATGTGTAGCATCTAGCCAAGCACCTTCACATGCACTTAGAGTCACTCTACAAGCAAATCCTATACAAGACTCACGAGAACATGTTCTTCCTCATGATATTCAACATGTTTCAATTGCATCTCTTTCTATGCAACAACTTCAAAATACTATTGTGGATATGATACGAGCCCAATATGGAGCGATTTCACAATATTATGTTGTCTACACCAAACTTTACATAGTGTATTGACAACTTGCCTATGCCCTTGGGATATCATCCCACAAAGTTTCAACAATTTGATGGAAGGGGTAATACTAGACAACACATTGCATATTTTATAGAAACATGCAACAATGCAGGAACTTATTGTGAAGCAATTTGTATGTTCATTAAGGCTATATTTGGTTTGAAGGAGGCCTTTCCCTACTTTTTCCTTCAAACCAAACATAGCCTAAGGGAAAATGCCTTTAATTGCTATACTGACCTTTAACCAAATCCCATTGATAGAAGGGATTAATTGGAAAGAGAATTTTTTGGTCATTTTTATAGCACTTGTCATATAGTTATCATGCATGAGCTAACTGCGACAAAGCAGGAAAAAAAAAAGATGAGCATGTTATTGAATACATTGACAGATTGAGAAATCTCTATCTAGAATTTTTAGATAAGCTTAGTGAAAGTTTAATTATCGATACACGCATTCAAGGAATGCATTGGGGGTTGCACTATATCCTCAAGGGAATAGAGCATTGAAGTTTTGAAGAATTGGAAACTCATGCTCATGACATGGAGTTATGCTTAAATTCCTTTGGAGAGCAACAAACTTATGCTTTTCAAAAACAAAAGTACATAAAGATGGAAGAAAAATCCTCTAAGCCAGTGGAAATTATGAAAACTACCACTGCACTTGTTAAGATTCTAGGAAATAAGTAACAAGAAAAAAATGTCTCTCAAAGTAAAGGGAAACAAAAATACACCTTCAAAAAAATGGAGGAGGAGTATCCATTCCCGGATTCTAATGTTTCAAGATGTTAGATGCTCTTTTAGCTCAATACCTCATAGAGCTCCGAGATTGTAAGCGCCCTAAAGAGGATGGTCGAACAAATTATTCAAAATACCGCTAATGCCATCAAATAATCAATCATCTAGTTGAGAAATGTTATATTCTCAAAGATAAAGTCATGCAATAGCAAAGAAGGGTTGATTGAGTTGGACTGAAGTAATGACATTGCTACCACTAATGTCCATATTGTTGCATTCGGATCCTTCGATTCAACACCTCTCTTTAGCCCTTATGAAAATCCGCCCCCACTTAAGAAAACTATGGGGGAAAACATTCAGCAAATGAGATTTACTTTTTGTCTTTTGATCCTATTGTTTGCGATTTTAAGTTTGAAATATCATTAAATAAAGCACAAGAGAAAGTCTTTAATCATAAAGATGTTGTTTTGTCTGAACTATAAATGGCATTTTCAAAAGATGAGCGTGGGCTATGATTACTCAACGTAAAGCATCATGTTAAACGTTTACCCATGACCTTTGCTTTGAGATCAAGACAAATGAAGCAACGAGTGAAACCAAGGAAACCCCTTAAAAGAAAAGGTTCAGAATAAACAACCAAATTACATCTTCCACACAAGTCATCCATGGAGAGATTTTGTAATAATTTCATCGACCAAAGAAACTCATGCATGTTTCATGTAGAAAGGCAAGTGTGAATAACATTATAATTAAAGCTATTAAATAAGAGTTCGAAAAGCTAATTAAGCAGCACATATCATCATTTAATAGGCTGAGAATACCAACATCTCGCACACTAGTGTTTGATAGATTAGACATGAAGAGAAAACAAATAAAAGAAGTAAAAGTGGAAAATCAATGGGAGGTGGGAAAAGGAAGTGATGACCCCCATAGTTCTATCCCTTTCTGCATGAAGCGCCAAGCTACTCTTCAAATAAATTTAGGGGATGTTTTATAATCAAACAATGAACATTGATGTTTACCAATCAAGTTCCTCAATCCAAAATTGGAAAGATAACAAGTTAAAAATGATGAGAATATTGTTTTTATAAATCATGTAACAACATGAGAACTTTCAAAACAATACCAAATATTCAA